GTCTTGTTTGTGTATTTCGTTTAACTGTTTGCCAGAATTATTCTGCAAGCTTGTTTTAGAGAAACTGAGGCATTAGAAATCAGAATGAGTGTGTGTTGAAGGTTGGATTACCCTCCTTTGTAATGGCCTGGCGTGAGTGAACAAAGGCATCTTCCTAGGTTAAGGAGAATAAAAGGTTGACAGAAGAGTTATACTTTTATGGTGTAAAAATTAGGGAATGGATGGTCAAAGAGAGAATGGAGAAACCGTTCTTGGTCCTCCTGGGTCTTCCTGGGAAGCAGCAGTTGACCTCGATGTTGGCTACTTCTCTTCCTAGTCAATTTGATTTTGAGGTCTATTGTTTACAAAGTACCAGAAGTACTTTGTAAACAATAGAAGTCAGGTAGAGCATTCTTCAGTTATGAAATATACACCTCAGATTTCGACACCTTGAAATTTGGCAGTGATGTCAGTAGTCAAGAGTACGTAGGATCTTTTCCATGAATTTTACTTTTGCAAAAGGACTGGAGTAAAAAAATAACTGTAAATGACAGAAGGCTATATAATTGACTTGACAAGGAAATGGTTATTTCTGTGATGTAACAAAATACCAGGATATACCTGGTTTTTAGGAATTTTATACAGTTTCTAAAATCACTTAACTTATACCCATACAAATATAACTTAAGAAAGTTAAATAAACATTTAACATATCAAATAAGCTTAATTGGTTTAACATTTCTCTTTTACAGTTGACCTTTGAACAACATGGGTTTGAACTGTGTGAGTCCACTTATACAGATTTTTTTCATTACTGTAAATGTATTGTCCTTATGATTTTCTTAACATTTTCTTTTCTCTAGCTCAGTGTTTCCCAACCTTCTCTCATGATGAGAATCACCTGGTGGAGTTGTTAAAACACAGATTCCTGAATCCCAACTAAGAAGTGCTAAACTAGAATTTTTGGGAACATATAGGTAAAATTGTATACTTAACTAGTGCTCTAAGACAGATTTTATATACAGAGCACTAAGTTAGGTATGCAATTTTACCTATATGTTCTCAAAAATTCTAGTTTAGCACTTCTTAGTTGGGATTCAGGAATCTGTGTTTTAACAACTCCACCAGGTGATTCTCATCATGAGAGAAGGTTGGGAAACACTGCTCTAGCTTACATTTTAAGAAAATACAGTATATAACTCATACTTTTTATAACATACGAAATCTATGTTAACTGTTATTGGTAAGGCTTCTGGTCAATAGTAGGCTACTAAATTTTGGGGGAGTCAAAAGTTATATATGGATCTTTAACTGCACCCCTATCCCTTCCTGGAACGTCTCCAGTTAATTCGAAGTAAACAAGGCTTTAGAATTTGATTTGGGGGAGTTTATTTTGATAAAAACCTTTGCTTTCCAGGCCAATTTCTTAAAAGCTAGGGGAAAAAAACTTTATCTGCATTTTTTTCTTCTTTAGGTATTATAGGTGTACATATCTTACCATCGCCTCCCCCCACCCCAGAGTTTTGCGTCCATTTGGTTATGTTTATATGCATGCACACAAGTCTTTCGGTTGATCTCTTATATCCCCCACCTCTAACCTTCCCGCTGTAATTTAACATTCTGTTTGATGCTTTACTGTCTGTTTCTATCTTTTTGTTTATAATTTTATAATTATCCATAAAAATTTTGTCCTTTTAACATAAATATTTTAATTTTACACCATTGTGCTTTTTATTTTTTTATTTATTATTATTTTTTTAATCCTTAGTGAAGGAGATTTTTTTCATTGATTTTTTTTTGGGGGGGGGAGGGGTGGAAAGGGGTGAAGGGGAGAGAGAAACATGTGAGAGAGACACATTGCTCGGTTGGCTCCTGACCAGGGCCTAGGATCGAACAAGGTATGTGCCCTTGAAAGGGAATCAAACTCATGATCTTCGGGTGTTCGGGCTGGCATATACCTTTTTTCTTTTTCTTTTTTTTTTTGCACCATTGTACTTTTGATATTAAAACTAATTTTTTTAAAGCTTGTATCCATTCTAGTCTTAGCCAACTTGGTCACACAGAAAAATTTCTTTTCCACATTCTACAACTTTTTTATATCCATTTGGATTTTATCTTATGTTTCCTCTCTTGACCAAGAGAACTACTTTAGTAAGGATTCTCACTTCTCACTCTTCACCAGATTCTGCTAATTTTCCCAGCACCCCATTTTCAGGTTCCTTAATGAGTAGAGTTTAAAGTAGAGGGGATAATTCTGATATCAACCAGAATTTGACAAGGTTTTCCTTTTAGTTTTACCTGGCTGTTTAAGGGAGTCACATCAGTTTGGGGGAGAGCCATATGGGGGTCTGCCTTTGAGAGTTGATATGAGTGTTGAAGCTCCATGCGGCTCTTTGGCCCCTTGAGTGTGACTCTTCCACAAAATAGCATGGGCTGGGCAAATCTCCTTTGAAGAAGTGACATTAGGAGAAGTGTAAAAAATTTGACTCTCAAAAGAAATTTCAATCGTCGTACTGTTGATATTTGGCTCTGTTGACTGACTTTGCCGACCACTGTGTTAGAGTATTAATGGGATGTAAGGATAGAGGGGAATAGGAGGATTCACATAAGTCTTGTGTGGTTTTTTTAAATTTTATTTTATTACTGGTTTCAGAGAGGGAGAAGGAACCACCGACCAACTGCCTCTGGTCCACTGAGGACTGAGCCTGCAACCCGGGCAAGATGCCCTTGACCAGAATCAAGCCCCGGACCTTTCAGTCCACAGGTTGACACTTCATCCACTGAGCCATACCAGCCAGGGCACATCTTGTGTCTTTTATTTAGCCTTTTGGAATTTTGAATCCTTTGTGGGGGAGGAGGGGTCATGTGCATACCAACTAAAATAGGCATTCCATTCTGGTTGATCTGGAAACCCTTACTTTCATGTGCACTTTGTAAGGAAATGATCTTACCTAACTAGAACATTTGCCATAATGGTCATTGTAATGTTAGGTTGTTGCAGTAAGAGTTTGCCATTTTTGTAGAAATTCACAGTTGATAATTTTGTATGGTCCTCAAGTGATGTTATAAATATCCAGATGGCCCTTAGCAGAAAAAATGGCTCCTCACCTCAAAGCCAAATGAATATCTAAGAGGGATGTGCCACGGGTTGGGGTTTGTGTGGTGTTTTGCAGTGTACCTCATTGCATGGAATTTTTCTTGGAGGTTAGTAGGTGAACTAATTTCAATCTAATGTATTCCATTACAAACTTATCGTAGCAGAGAAGGCTTAGATTTTAGTGGTGAGTACTCTAATATCTCACAAGTGTTTGACCTGTACCCACCATTTTTCAGCTTTGGCCTCTGAGATTCCTATTAACAATTGATTTATTATTCCTTTCCTGAAAAGCTTTCTTTATAGTGTCAGACACCCTAATGGCTTTTAATTGTCTGGTGTATGCTTATATTTTGTTGTGCTATTGGTTAAAACAATCTTAATTTAGTTCCCCAAGTCTCCTGGTAGTTTAGTTTATGCTGTGGCTTGAGTTTCCTAACAGCCACCACCTACCGCACAGATTCCCACTATAACTGTCCTGGAACCTTCCCGGAAACAGTAGTTTAAGATAAAGTGTTTAAATTGGAGACATATATACAAGGGAGTGGAGCTCAAATCCAAGAGTGACTTACCAACGGCCCTCAGCTTTGACGAGAGGAACAGTGAACTCAAAAGGTTCAGTGGGCTCCTAGTCTGTGTGCTGTCTTGTTGTCCTACAGGCCGTTAGCAGTCAACTTCCATCCTTGTCACCAAAAACTGTTTAAAGAAGACAATTTAGGTGTTTCAAAAAAACTTTATTTTAAACACTTGCTGAAGCAGGTAATCTACAGTTCTAGGGGGTCTAAGGACTGGGGCAGAAGGCAGGAGTCTTTTAAAGGATAAAGAATAAGGAACAAAGGATGAAGCCCAGAGTTGGGTGGCTAATTACAGTATATTTCCGGTCAAGCAGAGCATTTATAGGGACACAAAATTTATTCAAGGTTTGGTTTGTTGATGTGGTACCCCAGGCAGAAGTAGTCTTCATTTGGGCCTAGAAATTTATTTCAACAAAATTCAGCGTATGGCCTACTTTTACACAGCCTCAGAGCAAACTGTTTTTTCACAATTTTGAAGGCTTGTGGAGTAGAAAAAAAGCAACAGATCATATGCAGTGCACCAAGCCTAAAATATTTACTGTCTGCCCCTTTACAGAAAATGCTTCCTTGCTTAAGGCCGTCTGTGCCTGTGGTTAAATAGGAATGACTTGCACTCCTACAGAAGCAGGGGGTATAAACCCTCTCCTATGCAGTTTGTTAGGGCGAGGACACCAGTGTGGCTGCAGCAAGTGTTTCTAGTGCAGAATAGGGTGAGTAGGTGAGCCAAGCCCTGGGAGCCCAATTCCTGAGGACTTCACAATAAGTCTGAACAGTAACAAAAGACAAAATACAAATGTGAAAACCTTGGTGCTTCCTTTCTACAGCATATCTAACCTAGTAGAGTGGCATGTATGGGATCATGCAGCAACTAACTGTTCAACAAAGGGCAGGCAGTTGGATGGTGTGGGTAAGCTTGCTGCACTCTTCATTTATCACATGAGAAAGATTCCACAATAAATTGAGAATAGAAAAAAAATGGGGAAAATTGTTTTTTCTCAGCTTCTTGATGATTATATATAAGGCTCATATTAACTTATATTATTTATGAATAAGTAATTTTCATTAATAAACTGGAGGTCACAGTTTTAATAAATATGCTAATTTATATTGTAAGTTTGACTATTTTGAAAGTTTTAATGATACCATACCAAGTTCTTATCTTAGTATATATGCTGTTTGTCTTAAGTAAATAATTCTCAAAGTTGGGACTTGATGTCAAGGAAGAAAAGCCACCTTCCCTCTCTCAGACATACCTTTTCAAGTATACTTCATACAAGTTCTAGGTGTTTTGGCTCTTTGGGAAGAGATCAATATGCAATTAACCTACCTTATTCTTGTGTGCCTTATTTAAAAAAAAATAGAATCAGTTTCTTAATTACCAAGTAGGTACCGAAATAAAACCAGGTTGTTTAAAATGTACCACAACTCTTTGGAAGATAAAATGCATTTTTCTTCTTTGGCAGACAGAGGTTTTCGGATCTTCATTTAATTTGCTAGAAAAATAATTTTATTTAATTATTTATTTTAAAAAATAATTTTATTTAATAGGTCAATACATTTAAAGTCTTCCATTCATACTCAGCTGTCTTGCACTAGAAACTAGTAATAGAAGGCTTGTATTAAAATTCAAAGGAATTTACCTTTGTGTACTTGGAAATGGAATGTTTGCTGTGCATTTTAGTCACCATTCAGAAAAGTCCTGTTATATAATACCCTCTTTCAAGAGTTTTTTCCAAATTACCAGGCTCATCAAAATGAATAATTCTAAAGTAGTGTTACTACTATATAGTGGCATGTTCCTTTATATAAGTTACTCAACTTACCTTTGCTTTAGTTTCCTCATTTGTGTGAGGATATGATAATCCTTCATGGAAGATTAAAAGGAATCAGGGATCATGGAATGGATTACCTTTCCTACTATGGAACCTAAACACCGCCCTAAATTCATAATTATATGACAGGTTATCTAATATGTGATTAAAATGTATATATTATCTTACAGATAACCTAAGGTATTTAAAAATAGAGTTGATTTTTTTCCCTAGGTCCAAAATATGCTAGAGTGGTGGTGGTGGTTTTTTTGTTTTGTTTTTTTTACTTAAAAGTGCCTTCCTTATATCTACTCGCAGACAACAAAATGTATCAGTACCAATATTAACCTAGTGTACTATGAATAGAACACGGCAGAGAACAAGTCGCATTCAGCCCGAGAAGCAGCATGACCGAACAGCCTCATTTAGGGGCAGCAGTTCAAGATCAAACCCAACTGCTCCCCCCCCATACATATATGCACACACACACCCCTACATCCAGCAATAAGCTTCATGTTCACAGCAGGAGAACACCGGGGCCACCACCTGGACTTTGATAAGGTCACAGGGATAGGAGAGGCCCTGTCCTCTACAACTTGGCCCATGGAGCATCCCTTATACTTTGGTGCATCGTGTTCTAGGTGCTTTGTGAAATGCAGTGAGCAATCTGTCTACTGGCTGTTGAGTGCAACTGGCACACCTGAAGCTTTCCACTCACCACTGGTGGCCAATTGTACTGGGGAAAGGTAGCTGGACTAGTGTGTCAACGCAAACACCTATTTCTGCTCCTTGGGCCGCCCTTGGCTCTGCAGCAATGCTTACATCAAGGTGGAAACGTGAGAAGGGTAGAATGCTGAGGCCTTAACAACTATCATTCACCATGGTCCCTGGATCCAGCTATAACTTTCGCCGAAAGCAGGTTTGAGGTGGATAATCAGTTACTTTTGTGCTGCTCAAAGTTACATGTGGGGAAAATGAATACCTCCCCCCCCTTTTTTTTTTTGACACACTAAATTATCAGTGTTAGCCCATGAATAATGTCTGCTTAAAAGGATGTCATACTCCAAGTTCATTTCTTTGTTCTAAAAGTGGGGATGGGAGGTTTTTAGATCCCTGCATCACTTACCTGTAGGGCCCGACCTTTGGTCTCAATGGGCAGGGTAAAGGCTGAAATGGCGCACACAACGCAGACGGATGAGAAAAGACACAGGGCCCCCAGCAACGATGCGCTCATCAGAACCTGCACATCACAAAGAATTAATTGTGCCCCAGGCACTTCTATACTGATCCTTCAAAGGGGAAAGGATTCAAACAAATGAAGATTCTTTATAGCCATTCTGTGTTGTGCTTTGTGGGATTCCTCCATGAACGGCAACTGGCAATATGCATTGGCCAGCTTACACTTAAGCTGTCAGACCTAAGTGACCACTTGTCCAAAGTCACATACAGACTCCTAACAGCTCAGTGCTCTTACCACCACTTAGGTCCTCTCGAGATACGCAGTTTGAGAACCTGTCCTTTGCGCTGGTCTGTGGCCTTCCAGAAAGCTAAATAATCCCATTTGGCATGCAATAGAACCCATGATATTAGCCTCATTATTTTTGTAGTTGGCCTATGTATTATTTCTGGTTTTATTTCCCAAAATAAAGTACATACACTTTTTCCTGAAACAGGTATAAGTGTGTGTTTGTTTGTGTGTGTTCATCTATAAGGGAGGGAAACCGGGCTCAGAAAAAGGAAAAGATGCAGGAACCAAGAGACTGGGCAGCCTGAATCATGACAGATCACATAATAGTTAGGCATGTGTCTAAATTCTGCCATTGCTGTCCCTTTCATTGTTGGACATCAAAATTCTTACCACCCACAAAACGAACTTTAAACTCTCCCCACCTCATATCCTTTGCACCAGATTCGAAGTCCTAGGTGGTGTGGCACCCTGATGGGTCTGTTGAGTTTAGCTCACAAACTGCTCAACCAGCTGGGGTCAGGGAGAACTGCTTTGCTGTCTTGGTTTCCCTAGAATAGGGGTGTCGAACTCAATCAGAGAAGGGGCCAAAATCTAAAATCCAGCCTAAACCGCGGGCTGAATGGTTTACTGAACAGTCATAAACTGTCATTGTGATGGAAACGCAGCGGAGTGCAGTGATGACAGCGCGGTGCGGGCCACATTGCAAGGCCTGGCGGGACGTGTGTTTGACACATGTGCCCTAGGAGAACACAGGCTCTGCTTCCTGGCAGGACTCGAGCAGCCCAGTGGATGCTATTGGAGTCTCCCAGTGAATTCCTTTCTATGTTAACCAGAGTAATTTCTGTTACTTGCAAGTGAGAATTCTGAGTAATACTTGCTTTTTAAAAATCATCTGGGCCGAGGCCAGTTTGGCTCAATGGATAGAGCATCGGCTTGGGGACTGAAGGTCCCGGGTTCGATTCTGGTTAAGGGCATGTACCTTGGTTGTGGGCATATCCCCAGTACGGGGTGTGCAAGAGGCAGCTGATCGATGACTCATCGATGTTTCTAACTCTCTCTCTCTCCCTTCCTCTCTGTACAAAAATCAATAAAATATATATTTTTTTAAAAAATAAAAAAATAAATCATCTGGGAAGTTTGTTAAAGTGCAGGTTTCAGGCCCTACTCCAAAATCACTATATCAAAAAGATCTGGTAAAAGCCCATACCAGGGACAAAGAGGGCATCCTATATAACAGGGTAATATGCAAATTGATGCTAACAGAGGAACAACCTGTTGCTATGATGTGCACTGATCACCAGGGGGCAGATGCTCAATGCAAGAGCTGCCCCCTGGTGGTAGCTGGTGCCTCTCACGCCTCCACAGTGCTAAGGATGTCTTCGGCTTAGGCCTGCAGTCAGACATCCCCCGAGGGCTCCCGGGCTGCCAGAGGGATGTCTGACTGCCAGTTTAGGCCGGGCTGAGGGACCACCCCCTGCTGAGAGCATGAATTTTTGTGCACTGGGCCTCTAGTTACCTAATAAAAGTTTCAGTCCACCAAGACAACAATCCTAAAGATTTATACACCAAACAAGAGCCTCAAAATGCATCGAGTAGCCCTAGATGGTTTGGTTCAGTGGATAGAGCCCTGGACTGCAGACTAAAAGGCCCTGGGTTTGATTCTTATCAAGGGCACATGCTTGGGTTGCGGGTTCAATCCCTAGTAGGGACATGCAGGAGGCAGCCGATCAATGATACTCATCGATGTTTCTATCTCCCTCTCCCTCTGAATTAAAAATATATTTTTTAAAAATGCATACAGTAAAAACAAAGGAGAAATAGATAAATCCACATGCAGTTGAAGACTTCATTGCCTCTCTCTCAGCAATTGATAGAACTAGATACAAAATAAGGGATATAAAAAACAAAACAGCCCAAACCAGTTTGGCTCAGCGGTAGAGCCTTGGTCTGCAGACTGAAAGGTCCCGGGTTCGATTCCGGTTAAGGGCATGTACATTGGTTGCGGGCACATCCCCGGTAGGGGGTGTGCAAGAGGCAGCTGGTCGATGTTTCTCTCATCAACGTTTCTAGCTCTCTATCTCCCTCTCTGTAAAAAATAAAATATATATTTAAAAAATAAAAAACAAAACAAAAAAAACCCTAAGTAACGCTAATAGATTTTCAATCAAAATCTCACTAGGATTTTAAAAAAATCAATTTTGGGGGAAAATTGTTTCTGTAATTAATTTGAAAGAAAAAAAATTTGAAAACATGTCTGGGCGATAGAAGAGTCTGAGGGAGGTTTTTAGCCTAAAAAATATTAAAAGTTTCAGTCATTAGCAGTGTGGTTGATGCCAGAATAGATGCAAGAATCTATGGAAATCTAACTTATAATAGGGGCGTAGTAAGTCAATTGAGATGAGCCAAAACACAAGAATGATTAATGGCCCAGCACAACCAGCCAGCTGTCGTTTTGTTGCTTTTTAAAGCTGGATCCTTACTTCAGGCCTTAAGCATAAGTTGACTTTCAGTGTTTCAGAAATATGGATAAACAAGTGATGAAGGCCATTAAGCATGACACAAAACATTAACACAAATGAAAATAGTTGGTAAAAAATTTTAAATTTTGCATGCCGAAAAAAAAAAAACAGAGTAAAAATAAAAAAGTAAACCACAAACAAATATCTGCATTATAGTATTGATAATAAATGGCTAATAGCCTGTGGGAAAATTGCAAATCACATTAAACAATTTACAAAAAAAAAAAAAAAATACAAATGGATAATAAAAGGTGCTCAGCCTTACTAAAAAAGGAAAAAATTACAGATTAAGATGGTATAATGTATTTTGTACCAAATTTTTAAAATATATATATTTTATTTGATTTTTTACAGGAGGAAGAGAGAGGGATAGAGTTAGAAACATCGATGAGAGAGAATCATCGATCAGCTGCCTCCTGCACACCCCCCACTGGGGATGTGCCTGCAACCACATTACATGCCCTTGACCGGAATCGAACCCGGGACCTTTCAGTCCGCAGGCTGACGCTCTATCCATTGAGCCAAACTGGTTTCAGCTATTTTGTACCATATTAATAAGGCTTAAAAGAAAAGGCTACTATCCCTTTTGGTGATGATGGAAACAGGGATGCTTAAGAATGGTTAATACGTTATATCATGAAATGCATAAAATTTTTAAAAATGAAATTTGACAAAGTCATCACAATTTAAAATATGTACATCCTTTGACCTAAAAATGACCCAGTAGAGCTTTTCCAAAAATTCTGCTTTTCCCTCAAACATACTCCATTCATTCTCATGTCTGTGTCCTATTGTAGAGCCCTCCCCACCACCCTGTACTAGCATTAGCAGACCGCCCTCAGTCTCCTTTCCCTATTTTATGTTTGCATAGCACATAGCATTACTCATATCTGACATTAATTAGCTGTCCCATGTCCCTTCACCACTACAGTGTAATTTTAAAGAATCTAGGACCTTGTCCAGTATCTGGAACATAAAGCTCAATGACGATGTGTTGAATAACACAGTTGCACATGCACAAACGTGCAGGATGCATGACACTCGTTGTCCCCTTGTAAAACCATAGAGAAATAACACAGAAGCAACTTACTCATAAACAAGGTAATGACCGACTATGGCATATCCACACAGTGGATATCTATGCACCTACTAGAACTTAAAAGAATGAGGCTGATCTACATGTACTGACATGAAGCAATTGATGAGAAAAGGCAGTTGCAATACATAGATATCCTATATAATAAAGAGCTGATTTGCAAATGGTCACTGCGCCCTGGAGCTGGCTCCAGGAGACCTGAGGCCAAGCCCTCTGCCCCAGGGCCAGGGGAACTGAAATTTCACTCCCCCCCCCCAACCCAGCAGGGCTTGATGGGGGACCTGAGGCCATGGGTCCCCCCACCAACCCTAGCGCCAAGGGACCTGAGACTGCACCCCCGCCCTCTGGGGCTTAATGGGGGTGGGGGCGACTGGGTCTGGGTCTCGTGTGATTTTGAAGTGCGTGAGGGTGGAAGGGACTTGACTCTGGGTACCATGGTGCACTCCAGACTCTTGACAGGAGGGAGATTTTCATATACATTTTACTAATTTTCTTTCATCTCTGACACTTCTATTATAGAGAAAGGGCAAATAGCAATATTAAAATATTTCCTCGAATTAATTCCCTTTTAATGTGCATGAATTTTGTGTACCAGGCCACTAGTATGTATATATAAATATATAGATGTATGGGTAGGTGTTATACACGTGCCTGTCTACACACACACACACACACACACACACACACACAAGTAGAAACACACTGTAAATATGTAAACGCATCTATTTGATGGCTACTGACAGTCTTTAAGCCTCATCCTCTTCTCTTTCCCTTGTTCTCCAACTTGTGGATAAACTTATAAAAAAGCCTGAGTGCTCCTTCCTTTGGCGCTGGCAGGAGGTTTGAATTACACAAGCCCCTGCCCTAGCATGGGAACGCTCAGTCTAACCAAAACAGAAACCCAGGCAATCTGCTCTCCTTGCCCTCAAGCCATTTCACATCTGTGAGGCCTATCCTCCCTCAGAGTCCTGAAATATGTATGTAATTAAGTAAGAAGTATATCAACACTTTTACATACATCCATGTGTATATAATACATACATTATAAATATAAAAATATATATTCATCTTTACATGTATACAAATACTACCACTGGTACACAGGCACACCAAAAGAGAGACAAATCTATGCCTGGAAAAGCATCTGGAAGAACATA